TCCCCGCCCTCCGCTGAGCCGCCCTCCTCCTCATCTGCCGCCCCCTCCGCCACGGCTCCATCGCCTGCCGCGGCTGCCTCCGCCGCCGCCTCGGGCCCTCCCAGAAGGACCAGATCGCCCTCCACCGCCCCCGCCGCGCCGTACCGCCGCACCCGCTCGCTCGCCGCCGCGTTCCACAGCCGGCTCTGCCACGCGTGCAGGTACATCATCCGGAGAGTCCGCGGCACCGCGCACAGTCCGGCCGCCCAGTCCGGCGGCGCGGACGCGCCGCTTCTCGCGCCCGCCGCGACGGCCTCGCCCGCGCCGCGGCCGCGGCCAGCGGGGCCCCTGCCGCGGCCGCGGCCGCGGCCGCCAGCTGTGGGGCCGCATAGGGCGGAGAGGACGGCGCGCTCGGCCACCAAAAACCGCGGCAGCCGGTCGAGCGCCGCCTGCGCGGGGCGCGGGGCGCGGTGAACGGAGGATGATGCTACATCAGGGACGGGCCATGCGGGTTGATTGCAAAGCGAGGGCGTCGGGGCAGGCCCCGGCCGCGGGGCCTCCTAGCAACGCCAAACCCTCGCAGCAACGCCCCCCACGCCCGCATTGCCCCGTTTTACATGCGGCGCAGCTAGTCAAAGCGACTGCAGGCTCGCCCCATGTGGCAACAACTCCTTTTCCCAATACCCGCCCCCACACCATGTCACATACACAACCACCACCCGCCTGCGCGTCTCCCGATTCGAGGAACAGCCGCCGCCCCTCCGCCACATCAGCCCAGTCGTCCGGCCCGGGGGCCATCAGCAGCTTCACGGCAGCTTCCCACTCCCCGCGCAGCAGGAGGGCGCCAACCTGGTTGGGGGCAGCAATGGAGGGTTGAGGCATCGCAAATGGCTTAAAACAAACCCCACACGCGCGCGCACATGCACACACACACACACACACACACTCACACGCACGCTCGTGCACACACACCCACACACACTCTATTTCACTGATTCAGATACACACACACATGCATAATAATGCACACGCGCACTCTCTGATGCCCACTGCAGGTATCTGCGTGTCTTGCACCAACACACTCACAGCCCCACACTCCCATGGAGCAGCGCTGCTAGGGAAGGGCGAGACAGGGCCTGCGCCCACGAGGGCAGCCTGCGCAGGGCAGCTGCCATGCGCCCCTCAGGCCCCCACATACAACCTAGGCTCTCAAGCCCAATCACAGGCGTGTGTTCAAGGCATGCACGACACGCAGAGGAGCAGCAGCAGCAACAGCAACAGCAGCGGCAGCAGCAGCGGTACCAGCAGCAGCAGCAGCAGCAGCAGCAGCAGCGCAGCAAAGCCTGCGCCCACCTTGTGCGTGGGGGAGCCGCCGGTGCCGAACCGCTGCAGCCCAAAGTAATTGATGAACCCCCGCTGCTTCAGGGACTCGCAGGCCGCCGCAATCTGATGCAATTGGTAACGCGAGTTTGGGGGGCAGGTGGGCGGCGGGCCGGGTCGCACCGGGTTGCAACCTGCACAACTTGCCCCCGAATCGCTGCAGCCGGTGGGTCCCCCAAACCCGGCGCCCGCCCCCCCTTCTGGAGAAAAACACCCTCCCACCTGCTCCTCCGTCGCGCCCCTCACGTCCCGCACCAACAGGCGGAAGCAGTTGCCGCGCAGCTGCCCGAGCTGCAGGCCCTCCGCGCTGAACCCAAAGTCCCCCAGCTTGATGCCCCGCAGCCTGGCGGTGTGAAACGATGCGGCCGCGCGCGTTTTGAGATGGTTTGTGATCGCAACGAGAGACTCGAGTTTGAGGTATGCAAGGAATTGAATACTGGATACCTGCATTCGTATACCTCCCGCATTGCATGAGAATGCACAGGGTGTGACTACGGGGATGTCAAATCGATGTGGGCGCAGGCATGTTGACATTCGTGCAAGCTTACCGTGCAAGCATTGACAGATGCGGGTTTCGAATTTTCGGGTCGCAGAGGCGAGGGCGTTCGGGGCCGCGACAATGACGCCAGGCTTGCCTGGTGCGGCCGAGCGCGTCAGCCCGTCCCCCTGATGAGGTCCCCTGTTCGTCCTTGCACCGCAGCTACTGAGGAACACCAAAACCCTGATGGAACCCAAATCCAGGGTTTAGGGTTAGGGGTCGAGGACCCCTCAACCGAGGACCCCTAAACCCTCCAACCCCTCAACCCTCAAACATCCGAAATCCAGAATCTGGATCTCCTGAAACACAGCGGCCCTTGCCTGCTGTTGAGCGCCGACAGTCGTGAGGGGTGCACCCTGTAAAGCGTGGCCCACTGCGCCGTCACGCCCCGCTTGTCCTTCGTCCCCGCGATGCCAAACCCCGCGCCGCCGCCACGGTCGCCGCGGCCGCCGCCTCGGCCGCCGCCACGCGCGCCGCCGCGGCCGCCGCCGCGGGCGTCCGCGGCGCCGTGCAGCATGCCGGAAATGATGTTGAGGGCGGCCTGCGGGGTTGGGGTTTTGGGGGTTCTGAGGTTTGGGTTGTGAGTCTGGGAACCGCCTGCAAAGACTAGCTTTGTTGAGGGTGGGAGAGGAGCGCGACACAGGGGGAGGAAGCGCGAAAGAGCCAGCGAAGCCCGGCGCGGCGGCGCAGCGGGGGTGCACCCGCGCCGCGCACCCGTGGCGGGCGCCCTCCGGCGGCAAGGTCAGGGGGAGGTGGGGTGGCAGGCGGCGCGCCTGGCGAGCAGGCGCCCCCGGCTGAGCGTCACAGGCCGGCACTGCGACCGCTGCACCCCTACCGGGCAACTCGTTGGTTTTGACCCGGGGGGCAAGATACAATCTCATACATCCACCTCTGATCGACCTACCGACCACGCTCGGTTTGTCGCACCAAAGCCCAGCCCTTTGTCAACCCACGGC